AATATATATATCTATATATATATATATATATATATATATATATATATATATATATATATTTTGTTTATATATAGTAGATATCGAATTCCCTTTGTTTTCCAGGTTATCTGCCGTTAATATTAATTAAGAGCATTGACTGATTTTTTTTCATAGTATCAGCGGCTAATATTAACTTTAACGAATAAATGGTTAATAATGCAAGCCTGTCGTTTTAGTGCTTCATGTAGGTTAAGCAAAAACATACCTTGTGCTGTTGTACACATAAACTTTCCATCTCTTCCATCAGTTTCTCTAGATACCTCCCTCGTGGTTTTGATACTTGTCATATTTTTTCTGTGATAATGATGTGAGCAAACTATTGTTCGTAGCCTCAATTAAGTACCATACTAACATTTCTAATCAAACCAAAAAATTACTCCCTTTGTTTCTTTTTGTGTGATGGTATTTGAAACTTAAGAAAGATGAAAACTTTTTGAAACATGTGGTATATAAAATAATTTATAGATATTTGCGTGAGTATAAATTATCTCATTAAGGATAAATTGAGAAATTTAAAATTAAATTATTTCTAAATATACTTTTTTACAAATTAAGAAAAAAGCCACAAAAAAATGAAAGCGGTTGCAAAACAAAATGGCATACTTAGTTTCGAAGTAATTGTAACTGTCAAACTCCACCGAAAGCCAAAAAGTTCAGTTCAGCATTTCAATTTTCTTAACGTTTAATTATAAGTAACTGTATGTATTTTGGAGATTGATCTTGGAAATCAATTTTTTTGGGTCTAGCTACTTAAACACCAAAGAGAAAGTGTCATAACAAAAAAGAACATACTAGCTAGATTACTACTTCTTGCGTCGAATTTACACGAAGGTGTTTAGATTTCAAGAGTCAATCTATTAATTCTTTGACTGCAATATTTTTCTATGCTATTTATATATTTTAAACTATTAATTATTATGCCTTATGCTATTTTTTACATAGATTCCAAAAATATAGATTTTATTTCGTAAAACTTATAAAAGAATTCTATGTCCAAATGTACGGTCAAAATTAAGTAGTTTGAATCTCGAAAAGCAAAACAATATCACATAAAATAAGACAAAGGGAGTATGAAACCATCTTAAAAAGATTTATACTGTTGATTGAAAACAACATGTACCGGATACTGAATTTTTTAGCTATGCTTTTAAAAAATGCTTATTTAAACAATGTATTTTGTTTTTCGATTTATTTTTTTAAAGACTAAAACAATCGTGTTTGACTAACCCATTTGAAAAATTCTTTTGCTAAGAGTAGAACAATAATTTATGTTTGACCAAGGTTTTAAAAGCGTTTATAATAAAAGATATCTTTTTCAGCTTCTGAATAAGTGCTTTTACCACTGCTCAATAGTTTTTATTCCTTTCCTAAAAGTTTGACCAAACACCTCAGCTCTCTAAAATAAATATATTCTAAATAAAACTAAGCATTTTTAACTTCCAAAAATTGGCCAAACAGGCTAGTAGAACTACTTGAAACATAAAGTTGAGCTTAATTAGTTCCTTTTAAGAAAATAAATTCATTGTATTAAGGGTTAGCAGAAGCCGCGAGCATGTGTTTTACCTAATCCTCTAGTAAATAATAAGGAGACTCAAGATTATCACATATTAATTGTATAGAAGTTTTACTTTTCCGACCTGTATATATATTAGTTAAGGATTTAACTTATACACTAACAATGTAACTTTTTTGTACAATCGGTGCAATTAATTAAGTATGTTATAGCAAGTTTGTTATTATATATTATAAACTGATTCACTTATTATGAACAACTAAATGTAATTATCTTATAAATAACTTGATAGTGTAAAAGTTTTTTCATTATCAGTGGATAAAAGTTAATCTCATTACTAATTGATCTTACAGACTAAATATCATGGAAATAATTAATTCTAATAATGTAAAAAGTCGAAAAGTATCTATAAACTCTTGTCGCATTATATTATTGCAGTCTTTTACTACTCCTTTTTAAAGCTCTGGTCTTATAGCATCTTTTTCAAATTCTATCTAATGCTTAACAAGACCTCATTATTCCACAACTTCATCAACTTCACTTTATATCATCTCTCTCTCTCTCTCTCTTGTACTGTGTATTGGCAACAGACAAATAAAAGAGGCCAGAAGAGTAGGAAAGATTTCTCCATTTTTTCCAGTTGACCAGACTGAAAAAGCCCACCATGTTGTACGAAAACATGCCATTGATGATGAAAATATGAAAGATGTTCAAATGATCAAAGAAATCAGATCAGTTGTTATCCTCGTAATTTAAAGGTCACAGGTTCAAATCTTGACAATGGAAGGAGGTCATCAAGAAAGGATATTACACAATAATTATGATTTACAAGTCTCAACTCCTCATGCCAATATCCATGAAATGGGATTTTTACATCACTTTGAACATCATCAAAACCAGGTCATGAGTTTTTCAACTTCTCCTCTTGATGGCGCGACGCCACCAACCGCCACCTGTACCCTAGCAGCTGCCACCAATAACGGTAGCAGTTCCCTAGGGTTTTATCACAGTGAACTTGTCAATAGATCTTCCTGGAATAACGACCAGGTAGGTTTTTTGGATCTAAACTATAAGCTTTGGTGGTAATTTGTTTTTCTTCTTAAAATGTACTATTTTCTATTGCATTTGGGTTTTGGGAAAGGGGAGGAAAATAATGAAAATTGAACATACACGAAAACCATCGATACAGCTAGACGGAGCCAGGATTTCAAGCTTATGGGTTTGTAATTCTAATCGTTTTAAGTTACTGGGTTCTAAATTAATAATTTATACATATTCAATGGATTTTTTAAGACAAATACAGGGTTCGAACCAAAGTTATTGGGTTCGGCCGAACCCGCTGGCTACACTCTAGCTCCGGCCCAGCTAGACTATATATAAGTCTTGATATGGTAGGATTTCGATTTCACAAATACTGCTATACTCACTCGTTTCAAATGTTATGCGCCTCTTGTTAACATTAATATACTAACATAGTGTAGATGTTATCAACTCCTTTAGGATTTTTGTTTTTTGATTTTTGAATTTATTTCAAGTGATTTTATTTATTTTCTTTGTTTAATTATGTGATCAACTTGACATAGGTGGAAATAGTGGATCCCAAGGCAGTTATTGACGAAAATTGCAGCGGAAATGCCAGCGAGGGTAACAATTCGTGGTATTCTCTCTTTCTCTCTCTCTCTAGGAATTATTTAATTAGATGAAAGTAAAATGATCTTTCAATCTTTACGATCAAGAGAATTCCCAAAAGCCCAAAAAAAAAAAAAAAAAAAAAAAAAAATCTCTCTGAGAAGATGTCTTGTTTTTTCGGGTTAATTATCTAATATCTGAAGTCACTAGTCCAATCTGACCTTAAAGAGCTCGTTTAAGGGGAAGAATCACTGGGATTCTAAGCTGAAAACTAGTAGTAGTGGTGAAGCCTTAATTAAATTTGGATATTATCTATCCAAATTAATGTTATAATTTTGATAATATATTCCAGCGTAATCTTATTCACGAACCAAATTACAAGGACTAGCAGCAGAGCAAATGCCATTCTTCAGGTAGTGTTGTAGAGGCATTCAATAGAACTAAACCTACTCTCTCTCACACAATTTTCATGAAACTGGAGAAGCTTCTTTGTGATTTATATCAAAATCTAATGGTTGCGTCACGCGCCATAATGCACAACTACAACATATGACTTATTTATTTGGTATCAGAATATATATCTATACTATATTAAAAGCACGAAGGCCCTTATCGAAATAATATTTGTCTTTTTTGCCGTTTAGAAATAGAGTTCACACTGAGCAAAATAGTCATTTGACTGTTTTCCTAATATTTAGGAATATACATTTAATTAGTTACCTAATACTTAGAAATAGTCAATTAATTAATGTTCTAATATTTAGAACTTTAATTGTTCAATTTCTTTCCATATTAGGATTTCAGGGACGTCCAATTCACACTAGGAAAATTTAAATCTCAGAGAATTTATTTAATTTTTCAATTCCTTCCGCAGGAAAGATTAGTTCTTCTTCACCAACAAAGTTTCGTTCGATTTCAAATCCCTTCGGTTGGAAAGTTTCATTCTTTCTCAATTTCTTCACGAGGAAGGTTTTTACTTTGACTTTATTTGGATTTATGAGTATTAAATTTTACACTTGGAAAGTTTTAACCAATATATACTTCTTTTATGTTTAGGAAGGTTTTTTTTTAGTTAATAAAATTTTAACAAATTAATTTTTTACAAATATATTTGGTAAAATATGACACTTTGAATTCCTTTTTGGTTTAATAGCCTTATTTTTTAACATAATTTTCTTTGTCTGTTGAACTATACACAATTTTATCTTATATAAATTCTTTATGGTTTGAATTTGTATATATATATAAACTTTTCAAAATTAATTAAGCTCATTCGAATATTAATTATGTAGGTGGAGGAGTTCAGGGAAGGTTAAAGTGAGAAGAAAGTTGAGAGAGCCAAGATTTTGTTTCCAAACAAAGAGTGATATTGATGTTCTTGATGATGGTTACAAATGGAGAAAGTATGGTCAAAAAGTTGTCAAGAATAGCCTTCATCCAAGGTATGTAATCATCTTTACCCTAATTAACAAACATTGAGTTTTCATTTTCGACATAATTCATGGTGGAAAAGAACAAGCTTTTATACTGTCAAATCACCTAATTAATGATAATAATTACAAGTACAAGTCCATTGGACATAATGACCTAGGCAATAAAGCTGCTATAACAAATTAAATTATACTGATAGTATGAAAATTGTTTACACTCTCAACATATCCAAGTTTTATCCATAACCATTTTCTAAACTAATGACTATATTCACCATAGAAAGTAGTATAGGCTTTCTCTCTTCAACTTGATTATTTCTGAAAAATTATTTGGCTGTAACATCTCCGCACATTCATATCCAAAAAAGTCGATAAGTTATTTTCTTGAATTATCTTCTGAAACTTTTTTGAATGCATAACACAAAAAGTTAGGAAAAGATAATAACAAATTCGTCGTTAGTATATAAGAAATACTATTGCTAGAGAAATACACCTTCCTTTACAAAATTGAACAGTTCCAATTAACTTCTTATGAGGAATTAAATATTTATAATTATATTCTCTTCCATATTGGAAATTTAGAAATTTGTAATCATGAGCTCAATCAATCATACAATCAGATAATGAGAGGCTATTAGTAGCATATAATTTGACTTGTTGAAACTTGTAAATTTCACTTAAAATAAAATATTACATCAGGGTATAATGAGACGTTTGCATAATTATCCAAACGGAAATTTGAAATGCATACATTAAACTTGAGTCCCTCTTTGAAATAGCTAGCCGAATTTCCACATTATCCTTTGGGCTAACAAAGGGCTTTTTCTTTTTCCCTTTTTTTTTTGTGTGTGTGGGGTGGTGGGGGTGGGGGGGTGGGGGGGTGTAAGGGGTAGGTCTAGTTTATGCTTTCTCCAACAGCTCAAACCAGCCACCAAAATAGTAGGTCTGGAAAATAAAAATCAAACTGAATATTTTTCTATTGAATCGTGTGATCATCTCATAATTTTATCTAAAAGCTCACGCTATTAGAAATGGTACAACTTTTACTTAATTATATTTATCATTTCATAATCTCATTTAAAATCTCAAGTTATTAGAAATGGTATATTTTTGTTTACTCAATTATATTTTTCCAATACACCCCTTATGTGCGATTGAATTCTTTTTTTATAAGCTAATAAGCTTCCACATTGATAATAGGATTACCTCCATAAATAAGTAGCATATCTTCAATTGAGTGTACTAGATATTATAACTCCGTAGGCTTTATTTTAACAGTGTTTTGACATATCAAGAATCAGCTTCTGCTTATGCCTCACGTTTCAAAGGGTTGGAGTTATTCCCGATTGAGTTTTTTACATAGATGGTCTCTTTATAAAAATCATTTTCGTAACTAATACTAATTTTTGTTTATTCCAAATATAGCAGATTTTATTACAGATATAGCATTTATAAAAAAATACTTCATCCTATTTAACTGCAATCCCTTAAATACCGCTATAAGAGGCATCCTATTTAACAGCCAAAATGCAAGCACCCAATGTTTAAGGAAAACGTTTCAATCTTCACAAATATTGTGTAAACAAATTGCATATTTTCTCCTTTCCATAAACAAACAAATACGAAAAATCTCAAAGAATTTTCTATTTCGCTGATTTATGTCATCTTCTTCAAATAGGATTATTGTATTTGTCGAAGATACCTTTGTTCTTCAATATTATTATGCTAATACATAATAGAATATTATTCTAAATCTATACACTATTAAATACCATTATTATACTGTATATATACACATTTATACATAATGATATACTATTATAATATTGTGTATAGATGTATTCCTTGGATATATTTATTATCTACTATTATTAACATTAATAATATACAATCAATATACACAATAGCTGAAGAACTTATGATAAAATATAATATTAATCTATACATGGTTTTTACTTGGTATATTATGTGGTGTAATTTATACAAGATTTACATCATGTATAATTTATCTATTATAATTTATACATAGTTTATTATAATTTATACATGATTTATACAACATATATTATTGCAGTTATGAGGTTATATTCCAAGCTTCGGGGTGTATATTATTATACATGTTATATTCCAAATTTATTAGTTTTATTTTTGTAAATGAGAACAAATGCGTTATGTAAAGTGAGCAATAAGCATAAGTCTTTTTTGGATAGTATAACTTGATTAGCATTTAATTTTTGTATATAAAAATGATAAATAACTATTGTATTAAAAATATCCCCTAGCAAAGAAACGGGAGACAAATGTTTGAAAACACGTGCAATATATATGGAAATGAAGGGTCGTGAATCAATTTAAAAGAGCAGATTATGAGATAAACTAAATCCTTTTTGTTAGAAAATTAAAGGTTTAGATTTCTTTTAAATGTGATTATCGATCCAAATTGATAGCTTTCTGCTAGGGGATGTATTTATCTTATTGCTATATATGTAAAATACCTATTGCTGCTAGGATTATGAAAATTTTTCTTAAATTTTGGCTGTTTATGTTTTCTGCTAAAAGATTTAATTGCAAAAATAAGCTCTTAATTTGTCGCTCTTCGTTTTGTTTTCTGGCCCAGTTAGTATAAAGAGAGATTATGATTTATGAGTTTTAGTTTAAAATTGAATTGGTTTCAATTCAATTTTAACTTCTCTGATGAGACATCTAAGTAATTAATTATAGTGTCTTACATTAATTAGTGAAATGATATTATATAGTATGTAAATGTTCCTGTTTAGTAGTATTTAGTAGCAAAAGCTGTGTGTACGTTTTTTGCCAACAATTTCATTAAGTTTATGGGTGTATATATTGCAGGAGTTACTACAGATGTACACATAGCAATTGTAGAGTAAAGAAGAGAGTTGAACGACTTTCAGAAGATTGTCGTATGGTAATAACAACGTATGAAGGTAGACACAACCATTCTCCTTGTGATGATTCAAACTCTTCTGAAAATGATTGTTTCTCCTCTTTCTAAAGTACCACGTACTTATTATATATGCCTTTGTGAGGAACAAGGAAGCTAATTATTTTTGTGTTGGGTTCGATCGAATTCAGTTGCTTTTCTTTCAACACTGTATTTATGTTAAGAAGTTCATCAAATATATCATCAAATTTAGAACGAAACCCAGTTGTTAGCATTTGAAGTTCTTGTATTAAAATTCAAAACTCATAAAATTGATATCTTGGCTCCATGTTAAGAAATACTGTATTGATATCTCATATGCACTTTCCTATCTAGTGTAAATTAGATCCCACAGAATATGAATCACTGTTTTGGTGTTGGTATTCTGTAAATATAAATACACAACTTCAACCAATTTCCTTCCCATCTAAAGCTTCAGTTGTCAGTTTCATCACTGATTCTTTCTTAAGTATGACGAGGAATGTGATATTCTGGCAATGAACTATATTTATGTAGGTTTAATCTCTTAGTAGCATTATATTTATTGGTCCTCTTAGTATTGGACTTATAATATTGATGATAAATGACACATTGAATAATATTTACGTGGACAACGACGCACGAGCATTAGCGATTTCTTCTTTGGTGGTTTTTCTTTTGATCGCATGAAGTGGTATAATGTTTGCCTATGTTTGAAAATATAATTAAATAATAGTGTGGTCACACAGTTTACTATGATATTAGAGCTGGTATGTCCTAGATTCTAAGTTTTACCATCATAATACCGTATTAAATCTTTTTATAATGGTTGTGTCACGACCCGGAATTCCCACCATCGCGACCGTGATGGCGGCTAATATTTTACTTGCTAGGCAAGCCAACGTTAAAATAATCTACTCCTTTTAACAGTTTAAAATAGATATTAAAGAAGAACTGAGATAACTGAACAAATTTAAAGGAACAATGCGGGAGTTGAACTAGCCAAATATCTATTACAATTTCCCTGAACCTGAATACACACAAGGGTCTAAAGTAAATAACAAGTTGTTCGAATGAAAGTTCACAGCTAAATAAACAGAAGATGGGGACTCCAGGAGCTGCGAGCGCTGAACAGTCGTACCTCAAGTCTCCGCGAGTGTCCGATCCGAGCTCTCTAGTAGCCGCTGCCGGGACCGTCTCCAAATTCTACACAGTGTGCAGAGTGCAACATCAGTACAACCGACCCCATGTACTGGTAAGTGTCGAGCTATCACGACCCAAAACTCAACCCGTCGTGATGACACCTATCGTGGGACTAGGCCAGCCTCAGCTAAACGAAATCCAAAACCACAATACTAAAATTGGAAACATTTGCGGAAAACATTTATCGTCTAAATAAACTGTCTAGAACATAAGGCAAAATTCATAATACAATACAACAAGCCCAAAACCAGGGTGTCACGGAGTACATGAGCGTCTAGAGGAAAATAGCATAGTCTACTACAATGTTTACTGAATACAACTGAAACACAACTAGAATAGAGTAGGAGGGTCAAGGCCTGCGAACGCCATGCAGATACCTCAACAATCTCCAAATCCTGCAACCTCGATCAATAACTGCCATTGGGACCGAAAGTACCTGAATCTGCATGCAAGGTGCAGGGGGTAACGTGAGTATACCAACTCAGTAAGTAACAAGTCCAACTATGGACTGATAGGTAGTGACGAACGTAACCTCAACAGGAAAATAGAAATAAACTGTGCAGAAAAGTAGGCATGCTATCAGTTCAGGAATACAACTCAAGTAGTAAAATATATACAGATCTGAAAAATGTGAAATATAAAGCTCAGCTAACTCTACATGCCAATGCACAGAATGTATGAGGTGCACCATGTGCTCCCACTCTCCAGTGCTCCACCACTCGGTACTGCATATGGTCATCCGGCCCAGGGAAATCCATCCCGGAACATATACGGCGCTGACTGCAAGTCATCCAGTACCGAAGAATAAGGGTAATCCAACTCTGAGGAGAAATCCATATCCATATATATATATATATATATATATATATATATATATATATATATATATATATATATATATATGTACACACACAGACAACCACTCAGTACCGCATATTGCCATCCGGCCCAGGGAAATCCATCCTGGAACATACTCATCACTGACTATAAGTCACTCGATACCGAGAAAAAGGGTAATCCAACCCTGTGGAGAAATCCATCTCCAGATATCAATACTTCGGACAAATCCATGTCCAGGGAAATCCATCTCGCAAAATATCATCTGCGCTCATTGGGGGTGTGTTACAAACTCCGGAGGGGCTCCTATAGCCCAAGCGCTGTCATAATAATCAACATAACAGCTGCGGCGTGCAGCTCGATCCCATAACTGTCACTCATAATCAGGCTCTCGGCCTCACTCAGTCACCACTCTCTAGTCTTACACACACGGGCACATAATGCCAGAAACTAGCCCGAAACAATGATATGATGTGCCAAATAATACAACTGAGACCGAGACATGATATGATATGCATGAATAAGACGGAGTACAGAATATCAATGAATCTAATGAAGTGACAACAAGAAACGACCACTCGGGTCACAACAGTATCGGCGTAGAGCCTTAGCATGATTTCTAGTCCATTTACTTCATCACATGAAGAAACACACATATCAACAAGATAAAAATCATTATTCGGTGCCATGGGATGAACCAGGTCACAATTCTCATGGTGCACGCCCGCGCACCCATCACTTGGCATGTGCATCACCTCAATACTAATCACATATCACGATGTTCGGGGTTTCGAACCTTCAGAACCAAGTTTGAAAGCGTTACTTACCTCAACCAAGCAAAAATCCTACTCCGCAATGCCTTTGCCCCTCAAATCGACCTCCGGATGCTCCGAATCTAGCCATAAACAATTCGATACCATCAACACGAGCTAAAGGAATCAATCCCATAAGAAAATACTAAGCTTTAGGCCAAAAGTCAAACGGTCAACTCAAAAGCCGGTCCTCGGGCCCACGTCTCGAAATCTGACCAAAATCACAAAATCCGATAACCCATTTGATTACGAGACTAACCATACTAGTTACACTCAATTCCGACTTCGAATCGGTTTCCAAATCCCGAAAGTTCATTTTATGAAATTCTACAAATTTTCCCCCAAATTCCATCCCAAATTACAAATGAAATGATGAAATTAATGATAGATTCATGATTATTAGCCAAAACCGAGTTAGAATTACTTACCCCAATGATTTCCTCTAAAAACTCCCAAAAACCCGCCTCAAACCGAGCTCTCAAAGTCCAAATATGAAATAAAATCCTAAACCTCGCTTATACAGTGCTCTCTGAACTTCCAGTCTGCAGTCCGCGTATTTCTCACTGCGGCCGCGCAATTACTACCGCGGTCCGCGTAATTCCATCACGGCCGCGAGTCCTGAGCCAACCTCTACCACGGTCCGCGAGATTCTCACCACGACCGCAAATCCTGAATTAAGTCCATCCGCGGTCCGCTAAGTTCCCATCGCGGCCGCATTCTCCTACCGCGGTTCGCATAACCCATACCGCGGCCGCACTTCCAATGATCCGAGACCTGCAACTTTCCAACACCAAATATCAGTTAATTACAACTTCCAAAGCCAAATGGTGACCCGAAACTCACCCGAGGCCCTCGGGACCTCAACCAAACATACCAACACATCCCATAACCTCATTCCAACTTAGTCGAACCTTCAAATCACTCAAAACAATGTCAAAACACCAAATTACACTCGGATTCAAGCCTAAGAACTCCCAAGTTTCCAAATTCCGCAAACGACGCCAAAACATATCAAACCTCGCTTGAATGGCCTCAAATTTCGCACACACGTCACAAATGACACTACAAAACTTCCAAAATCCCATTTCGACCCCCATATCAAATTTTTCCACTATCCACCAAAATCGTAAATTTCGTCAATTCACGCCAAATTCTACCACATACCTACAAATTACATTCCGGACGCGCTCCTATGTCCAAAATTACCTAATGGAGCTAACGGAACCATAAAAATTCAAATCCAAGGCCATTTACTCATAAGTCAACATCCGGTAAACTTTCCCGACTTAAGCCTTCTTAAAAGAGACTAAGTGTATCAATTCTCTCCAAAACCACTCCGAATCCGAACCGATAACGCGATACGATCAAATACAGCCGAAGAACACAAAATGAAGCAGAAAAATGGGAGGACGGGCTATAACTCTCGAAACGACCGGCCGGATCGTTACATCCTCCCCTTCTTAAACAAACGTTCGTCCTCGAACGAGTCTAGAAACATACTTGAAGCCTCAAATAGGTGTGGATATGTGCTACACATCTCAACTTTCGGACATGCCGCTCCAAAATAGCCATTGGCTCCACATCATAAGTCAAATCACTGTCTAACTGAACGGTTTTGAAATCCAAAACATGAGACGGATCACCGACATACTTCCGGAGCATAGAAACATGAAATACTGGATGCACCCCCGACAAGCTAGGTGGCAAGGCAAGCTCATAAGCCACTTCCCCAACCATACGAAGTACCTCAAAAGGCCCAATGAACCGAGGGCTCAACTTGCCCTTCTTTCCAAATCTCATAACACCCTTCATGGGTGAAACCTTCAGTAGGACCTTTTCTCTAACCATATAAGACACATCCCGAACCTTTCTGCCAGCATAACTCTTTTGCCTTGACTGCGCTGTACGAAGCCGCTCCTGGATCACTTTCGCCTTGTCCAAAGCATCCTGTACAATGTCTGTACCCAAAAGCCTAGCCTCGCCCGGCTCAAACCATCCCACTGGAGATCTACACCGCCTCCCATACAAAGCCTCATATGGAGCCATCTGAATACTCGATTGATAACTGTTGTTGTAAGCAAACTCGGTGAGCAGCAGAAACTGGTTCCATGAACCACCAAAGTCAATAACACACGTACGTAAGATGTCCTCCAAAATCTGAGTAGTGCGCTCGAACTGCCCGTCCATCTGAGGATGAAATGCTGTGCTCAGCTCCACCTGAGTGCCTAACCCTTGCTGCACAGCCCTCCAAAACTGCAATGTAAACTAAGTACCTCTATCTAAAATGATGGAAACCGGGACACCATGCGGGCGAACAATCTCTCAGATATAAATCTCAGCCAACGGCTCTAAAGAATAGGTAATACACACAGTAATGAAGTGCGCGGACTTGGTCAGCCGATCCACAATCACCCAAATAACATCGAACTTCCTCAAAGTCCGAGGGAGTCCAACTACGAAATCCATGGTGATCCGCTCCTACTTCCACTCCGGAATC